CCCAATATGTATTCTCTGATTTAGTACTCATAATATCCTTATTGGATAAGGATTATTATTACCCCCATTTTATAGTTGAGGAAACAGGAAAGGAGGCAAACTAAGGTACCTAACATCGAATACTGGGGCGGGCCTCCCAGGTGGCGCGGCAGTAAAGACTCCACCTGCCAATGCAGGATGCAAGAGACGTGAGTTCGATCCCTGGGTCAGGAGTGCTGGGGGCAGGAGACAGAGTTTAAATCTAGAAAATTCTGATTATCGAGCCCAAATCTTCCTGAGATACATATTTAAAGATTGTTTAGACTTATTTGTAGTTACTATGGGATTTCATTAATCCATCCGTTTAAAATGTATCAAATATACACTAATGTTTAAGTGAAGAAAATGTACCAATACTATAAAGATTATTGAAATAATTTTTGATGAAAGGCAAATAATTTAACAATTATCTAAAAAAATTGAAGGGGAAATACCTATAAAATAACCTATGTAAGTTATAGGGGATAACTGGCAAAACTTGAAAATAGACTCTGATTTCAGTAACAGTGTTATATCATTGTTAAAGTACTTGGTTTTGATAATTGAACTGTGGATTATACAAGAAAATGATCTTGTTCTTATACAATGAAGTATTTGAGAGTGAAAGGAGCAATACTGTCTTAATCTCAATGGTTCCAGGGAAAAACATGTATATAGAAAAATGAGGGAATGATTTTTAAAATGAGTCAAAATGTAAGAAATTGGTAACTCCGAGAAAAGGGTATACAGGAATTTCTCGTACTATTCTTATAGTTTTTCTGTTTGAAATTATATCAAAAGAAAAAGTTGCCCTGAAATGAAGGTAGAAAACAGGAAATGAAGGTGTAACATTCTAAGAATTTTTTCTTTTAAGTCAGGTGAAGGATTGTTTCTTGTGCCCTGATTTTTGTGTGTGTTTTTTTTTCTTTTTGGAGGTTGGAAGAAGGTACTTGAGACCAATAGAAAATCTTACCAAACATAGCTTGACTTTCTCAAATTTTAAAATCTAGCCATTCAGAGCTCCCTGACTCTCCAATCAAATCGTGTTTACCTTGCCTCTTTTTAATGGGGCGGGGAATAAAACTTTAGTGTCTCTGAGAGCTAAGAGATAAAAAGACCACCCACTTTTAGTGATACTGGAAGTTTAATTGCCTAAAACCTTCAATACCATGCTAATATTGGCTAATTCTTAAATTTGTATTTACTTTTGTCTGCGCTGGGCTCTCATCGCAGCGCACAGGCTTTCTCTGGTTGTGGGGTGTGGGTTGCTCATTGTGGTGTGTTCTCTAGCTGGGGAGCTCCGGCTGCAGAGTGTGGCCTCAGCGGTTGTGGTACTCAGGGTCCATTGCCCTGCGGCATGTGAAGTCTTCATGGACCAGGGATCGAATCGGTGTCCCCTGCAATGGCAGGCGGATTCGTAACCACTGGACCACCAGGGAAGTCCTAGAATTGACTACTTTTTATGTCGGATCTCTGTAACCCTACTTTCGAGGCAGCCTGGCCCAACCCACCTTTCTCACTGTGTTTCTTGCCAGACCACCAAACGTGGTTCACTTCGGCCACATCAGATCTTATATCTTGTGCCTGCTGACCTTTTTGTCTCCCCGCCTTTGTCCATGGACTGTTGGCTTCGCCTGGAATGCACTGCATTCTTTTCTTGCTGAAATTCTCTTCCGAGAAGCTGTCTTTCATCCTCGTGCAGAATGAAATTTTCCTGTGTGTGCTGCCGTATCACAGTGTTATCTGCTTTCATTCAGCAATCCTTATGAAGCATATACTGTGAGCCAGAAACTGGGCCAGGGACTGGGGTCCAAAGGCACTCATGCTCTGTTAGCTAAGAGTGCTCTGTGAACAAACAATCATAAGTACTGTAACAGCAAAATGAGCAAAGTGCTGTGAAAGCTACAGACTACCCTCCACAACTTAGTCCTGAAGAAAAGGTTGCAACGAAAGCCACAGTGAGATGCCACGTGCCCCCATCAGGCCCCTTTCCTGATTGGAGATTTCCAGCACAATAATCTACTGGAAGAAGTTTTGAACAGTTGTAGTGCCTGTGGGCTACCCAGTTAGGCATATTCAGTGGAAAGCTAAAAAGACGAGTCTGCAAGTCTAGATCTCAGGGGAGAGAGACGGAGTCCCTGTATGTAACTCACACAGACCTGTGATTTTCCGTGTGCACAGGCAGGAAGGACTTGGGGGCAGATTAGAATCTCTCAGGGTCACGTTGTTTTTCAAACCACCATCCCCTCCAGTGCCCAAGATCCTGCTTCCCCCTTCACTTTGGTGACATCTTTCCTGGCTTAAGAATAATTGTCGGAAGCGAGAGACCGTCTTGATAGACACGTGTCACGCGGGTGAACCACAGGGAAGCAGGAAACACGTTGAGAAACACTGGTGGCGGAGTAGTTAAATGCTGGGGCGTGGATAAAAGCTCAGGAAGAGTAAGATGACGAAGAGGATGGGGTTGAAACCTCAAGGAGCCAGAGTTGTAAAGGGTGAGTGGAGAGAGAGGACCACTGTGAGGACAGATGCGGAGGAAGGAGAGCTGGGAGGGACGGGGCGGTGGGAGGCAGGGGCACGGAGACATCCCACGGTGGACGGGTGGGACCGGGGGCCGCCCGGAGGCAGGTGCCAACCCAAGGAGGCTGCTGCTGGCCAGTCGGGGCCGGTTCAACCGGAAGGTGGCGTCAGGAGTCCAGCTGCTGGGAATTCAGGGGTGATGGGAGTCAAGGGGAGGCCTCTTTCCAGGACGCCCCTAGGAAAGGGGAAGCAGGGACGGAGGGAGATGGATTGAGGGGCAGGCAGACTTCAAATAGAAGAGTTTTCTTTTTTCAAGACTGGGGTGGGGTGGGGGCAGGGACTCAGGAAGAAGTGTGTTTGCTAAGAAAGAAGAAAGAATGGGTGGAGACAGATACATTAAAACTATAGGAGGCAGGACTTCCCTGGCAGTCCAGTGGTTAGGACTGTGTGCTTCTAATGCACGAGGCACAGGTTTGATTCCTGGTCAGGGAACTAAGATCCTACATGCAGTGCAGGGCAGCCAAAGAGGAAAAAAAAAAAGTCTGAGCTCTAAAACAGTGAGAGAATAGATCTGTGTTTAAAGGGAAAAAATATATAGGAGCCAATGGTTAAGAGCCTGCACTCCCAATGCAGGGGACCCGAGTTTGATCCCTGGTCAGGGAACTAGATACCACATGCCACAACTAAGAGTTCACATGCTGTGAAGAGGAACAAGTTTGAATCAGTTCTAGTGGAATGGCTGAACCTAGAGCCTTCATACAGAAAGGAGTAAGTCAGAAAGAGAAAAATATCATATAATAACGCGTATATATGCAATTGAGAGAAATGGTACTGATGAACCTATTTGCAGGGCAGGAATAGAGACGCAGACGTAGAGAACAGGCTTGTGGACAGGGTGGGGGTGCAGGGGGAAGGAGAGGGAGGGAGGAACATACATATTACCATATGCAAAATAGACAGACAGTGGGAAGTTGCTCTGGGAGCTCAGCTAGGTGCTCCGTGACAACCTGGGGGCGTGGGATCGGATGCGGGGTGGGCCGGAGGCTCAGGAGGGTGGGGACCTATGTGTACCTGCGGCTGATTCATGGTGTCGTATGGCAGAAACCAACGCAACATTGTAAAGCAATTATCCTCCAATTAAAAAAAAAAAGTCTCATGCTGCAGCTAAGACCCAGTGCAGCCAAATTAAAAACACACACACACACACAGAAAACAAAAAATGTGTTGGTGCCAAGATCCTTTTGAGCTGGGTGGTGTTGGTGAGGAGAAATTCTTGCTGGGTGGGAGCTCCTTGAGGGTAGGAACCATGCTTTATTCATCTCATATCTCCCTGTACCTGGCATGCAGTATATATTTGGAAAATGTTTATAAAAACAAGTGAAGATTTACTTTTTAGAATTAGCCTTTCCTGATTGATATAGTGGAATAACGGGAAAAATCACTATTTTTCCCCATAATTAACATTTTATATTGTACTCTATGTAAGCAATCTATTTGCAACTTCATGTTCTTTAAAATAAAAGAGAAAAATCACAAATTAGATAATATTGAGGTAGTAATAATCATGCTTATTTAATTTTCCTGTGCCTGATAGGTATGACTTAAATTCCAGCATCTTGAAATGTGTTATGGTCAAGGCACGTGCCTGGAGAGTGTTGTGTGCAATTCATCAGAAGAGATAAAAATGGGTTAAAACAGTCTTATAAGGCAGTCACTGTTAACTATTTAACAGGGGGACACTATCCACTCCATGCTGGTAAAATGATATATTTTTAAGCATTCAGAGAGAGGACAGTTTTTAAATGTCTTCTATGTCAGATTTTGTCTGTAGTAAATATTTCTGATATTAACAAAGACCGACTTTATATAGGGCTTTCGGTTCTGTGTAATTTAGTTCTTCGAGAGTATATTCAAAAGAACAGATTGGTTAAAAAAGGTGAAGTCAGCTCATTGCAGGCTATATTTCAGGGTGCAGATGGTGAGTGAATCCGTGTGGGTTTTCTTCTGCTCTGCCAAGTTTCAGTATTGTGGACTTAAATCCCAAACAAATATGTGAAGGAGGTTCTGGTTCACATTTTCCTTCCCCCTGCTTGTAAACTGGTGTATATGTTGATAGTATCTCATTTTGTATTATCCCCCGCCCCTGCCACCTCATTTCACTAGAAAACTTCCAGCATTTTTTTTAATAAGTCATTGCCTGTGAAATATCTTATGTAAAATATGCTAAGCAAATCAAATTAGTATATATAGAATTCATTGCTGAGGACCGTGATGAGTTGATTTCAACGTTGATTGATCTTTCCTGAATAAAATTGCCTCATTTGATGAATTGCTGTCTTGAGAACTGATTGGAACGTTATTGGACCTTCAATATCTTTGTTGTTTTCTCTTTTTTTAAACAGTTGATGCCTGGTAGACATCTTTGAACTTTAAAAACGGAGAAGACCTGCTTTTAGAGGAAAATGCTGAGGGACGCTATGAAGTCTTGGAATGATAGCCAGTCAGATCTTTGCAGCACTGACCATGAAGAGGAAGAAGAGATGGTTTTTGGTGAAAATGAAGACGACTTGGAAGAAATGATGGATTTAAGTGATCTGCCTACCTCACTTTTTGCTTGCAGTGTCCATGAAGCAGTGTTTGAGGTGCCAGAGCAGAAGGTAGGCATACACCCTACCTTTCTCTGTCTTAGGTAGTGTGTTGAATGTGTGTGGATTCGAGGAAACAGCTGATGGCTGCCTATTTGCAAAGTTTGTTATTGGTCCATGGCAGGTAGAGAAGTGTGCACCAAACTTTAGACATTGCTTTGGCATTTTGGGGCTCCCTGGTGGCTTAGAAGGTAAAGATCTGCCTGCAGTGAGGGAGACACAGGTTCAATCCCTGGGTTGGGATGATCCCCTGGAGAAGGGCATGGCAACCCACTCCAGTATTCTTGCCTGGAGAATCCCATGGACAGAGGAGCCTGGCAGGCTACAGTCCATGGGGTCTCAAGGATTCGGACACGACTGAGCGACTTTCACTTTCAGCCTTCTGGCATTTTTATTGTGTTTTGTGAGAATATCAGTCTGCAACAGACAGGAAATGCTTAAAATCCAGTCCTACCCCATGAATATTAGAAGCACTGGTTTATAGTGAATGCTGAATGAAGTCTTAATAAGTTCATCTATTGATTCACTCAGTCATTCATTTTTGTAGCTTGTGGTTAAAGAAAAGCTAAGTGACTTTTAGCCTGGCTTCCTATTGCTTGGTAGTAAATTCACAAAGGAAGGACTTACTTTAAGCCTTTTTCTGAGGCTAATAACATAGTTAGGACTGTTTATGATTTCATTTGGGGCTTCCCAGGTGGCTCAGTGGGAAAGGATCCTCCCGCCAGTGCTGGAGATGCAGGAGACATGGGTTCAGTCCATGGGTAGGGAAGATCCCCTGGAGGAGGAAATGACAACCCACTCCAGTTTTCTGGCCTGGAAAATCTCATGGACAGAGGAGCCTGGTGGGCTACAGTCCACAGGGTTGCAAAAGAATCAGACACGACTTAGCGACTGAGTATGAGCACAATGATTTCATTTTAACAGAGTTCTTAGTATTTCTTTTTTTACTTCCTGCAAACTGCCCAGGGCAAAATGATTGAGTTTATTTGTTTATTTTTTTAAAGATGGCTACTCTTTAGTTCATTCATTATTTACCTATAAAAAAGAGAACATGTGTGTGCGTTTCATTCCATGGTGGCCTCACAAAAGCCTGCAGATCTTAAGTTACACAGAAGTAAAATATTTCTGCCATTGGTATGAAATTTTGCGTGTTCTAAGACTTTGTTTCAAAATCCCACCATGCTTCCTTTTAATTTGTTATCTGTGTCTTCCAAGTATTTTTCTTTCTGGTGACTCTTGTGGAGCAGAACTTGATACAATGAATAGTTTGACTCAGTACATACTTGAATGCCTTGAGTGTATAAGGCACTGTACCAGTGGCTTCAGGGGAACTGAAACAGTTCTGCCTTGAGAGCCCTGCAGTGGAGAGGATAAGTAATTTGATGTAAAATATAATGCTCACACCTTTAGAGATGCCTGAAAGTACTGAGTGTAGGGAAAATTAAATGTTTCCTTTGTAGTTTTCTTCTCTCAGTGTCTTCTTTTAATTTCTCCTGGGCTAACCTGTTTGTGCAGGTTGTCCACATGTGTGCCAAAGACAAAGCAAAATAAAAAACTCTTCTCTTGTATTATGGGCAGAATAATTCTGATTGCAATTAAATGCCTTATTTTCAAAAGAATTTTAGTTTTTCCCTGATTTGAAAAGGTTTTTGTTTCTGTATAACTTTGTAATTGTTGGAATGAATGAGCTTCTACCCTCTTCTGAGTGGTCAACCAAGTGACACAGGTTCCATTGTCATCTGAAGCTGAATCTTTATTTCAGTTGCTGGATTGTGGCTCTACATTTTCCCCAGTGTTTCCTGGAAATTGTGTGACATGGCAGAGGAAAAGTAAAGAATATAGTAAACTGTAAGAAAAATAAGCCAAGGGAAAATTTATCTCATAACTGCTGTTTCTGCAACAGCCTGGTTGTTAGCTTTTTTCCATGTGCTCAGCTAATCAGCAGCTCAGGCCAGAGCACTGCAGGTTTAGTACCTAATTTTCCTGTAACAGATTGGAATTCATTCCAGTGTTATTGACTTGCTGTTTTTAACCCCAGTTTTCCCTTTCTTCAAACCAGGCTTCTGGTTTGAACATGAGAGATTTTCAAGATTTAATTTAGGTTTTTATGGTGGGGGAAATTGGAGTGCTTCTCCTTTCTGCTTTAGGTCTATGTGTCTGAGGGATCTTGGTAAATGTTGATGCAAAGCAGCATTCCAGCTGGGGCCTGACTTTATAGAGAAATGCATGTCACTTTTGGATTAGTCTGTTCTCAAAGCACTACCCTTTGTACATAAAACTGTTTCTCCTGACCTACTTACCGTACGATTTTGGATTTGTTTTTCTAATGACGAAGGTTGGGATATATTAGGACATCTCTACTTGCTCTCCTGGTCCTGCTTCTTGAGCATCTAATATAGTTGCCTAGTACAGAGCAACACCTGTTAGGCTGAATGAGTGGACTCTGTAAGATATCTGTTGAGGATTAGTGATACAGAGTTGTGATGGAGAGACAGACGTACTGAGCTGAGTGAGGTTCAGTTGAACATAGGAGATTTAACCTGAAATTGTGATTTCATGGCCCAAATTTCTCTGTGGTCCGTGTAATCATATGCATGATACAAACCTTCCTGTTGAGCATCTGGTTTCTATATCCTCCATTTAAAGATGAATAGAACATATTACTTAAGAAAAATAAATGATATTTGGAAGTTAACTGAAATCCTCTGATTCTCCTAATCAGTTGTTGAATGTTCTAATACAACATTCAATCCAGAAGAAGTAAGTCTTTGAGGAAACTGATTTGTTTTAAATCTGGAAATTGAAAATGGAGATTCAGAGGAAGAATGTTTCTATTTAGTGAACTGTATTTTTAACAGTGCCTGGAAGGTAACAGTTTCAGTAAATAGTTAATTGAATCTGTAGTACTATTCTGGCCAAGAATTAGTAAAAATTTAGTTAACTTCAAGGCTAGATTAAATACTAGAGAATCATAGAAGTTTAGAGCTAGAAGAAATCCTATTCAAGTCTTCTATACAGTAGTTCCAGAGTAATAGAGTAATTCAGCTTGCTTTTAGAACCCATTTTTCACTTATTCACTGAAAACTACAAAATATTGCTGAAAGAAATTAAAGACAATACAAATAAATGAAAAGATATTCATATCCGTGGACTGAAATACTTAATATTTTTAAGGTGTCAATACTCCCTAAAGCAATCTACAGATTTGGCACCGTCACTATCAAGATCCCAAAGATATTTCCTGCAGAAATAGGAAAACTCTTCCTAAAATGTATAGACTCTCAGGAGACCCCCGAATAACCGAAACAATTTTGAAAAAGAACAAAGTTGGAGGACTCAAAACACTTTCTGATTTCAAAACTTAATACAAAGCTATAGTAATCAAAGCAATGCAGCACTTAATGTCAATTGTATATCAGTTTAAAAAAGAACAATATGGTATTGGCATAAAGATAAACAGGGGCTCTGCATCAACCTAGAGGGGTGGGATGGGGAGGGAAATGGGAGGGAGGTTTGAGAGGGAGGGGACATATGTACACCTATGGCTGATTCATGTTGATGTTTGACAGAAAACCATAAAATTCTGTAAAGCACTTATCCTTCAATTAAAAAATTAATTAATTAAGAAAAAGAAAGCCCCCCGCCAAAAGGTAGACACATTGACCAGTTAAATAGAACAGAGAGTCCAGAAATGAATCCTTGCATACATATATGGTCAAATGATTTTCAACAAGGATGCCAAGACCATTCAATGGGGAAAGGACAGTCTTTTCAACTAATAATGCTGGGAAAACTGGAAATTCACATGCCACAGGATGAAGTTGGACCCTTACCTTACACAGTATACAAAAGTTAATTAAAAATGGATTCAAGACCTAAAGGTTAGAGCTAAAGTTATAAACTTAGAAGAAAACATAGAGGGAAAGCTTCCTGACATTGGATTTGGCATTAATTTCTCCAGTAGGACACCAAAAGCACAGGCAGCAATAGAAAAAGCAGACTCAAAAAAAAAAAGAAAGAAAGAAAAAACAGACACATTAGGACTTCATCAAAATTAAAACAGTGTGCATCAATTGACACTATTCATAGAGTGAAAAGGCAACCTACACAATGGGAGAAAATGTTTTCAAATCATATATCTGATAAGGGATTAATACCCAGAATATATAAAGAACTCTTAAAATTCAACAACAAAAACCAAATTGGGTATATACAACCAATTATTGGGCAAAGGATTTGAATAGACATTTCTCCAAAGAAGATGTATAAATGGCCAATAACCACAGGAAAGATGCTCAGCATCACAAATAATTAGGGAAATGCAAATCAACTTCACAATGAGATACTTCACACCCAATAAAATGGCTTATCATAAAAACAGAAAACAAGCATTGACAAGGATATAGATAAACTGGAACCTTTGTGCATTGTTGGTGGAAACATAACATGCTGTGACTGCTGTGGAAAATGGTATGGCAGTTCTTTAAAGAATTAAGCATAGAATTATCATACAATCCCATGATTTTGCTTCTGGGTTTGTACACAAAAGAAAGTAGAGATTTGACTATATATGTGTTCAGCAGTGTTCATAGCAGCATTATTCATAATAGGCAAAAAATGGAAACAACTCAAATGTCCATCAGTGAATAAATTAATAAACAAAATGCAGTGTATTCAGACAGTGGAATATTATCCAGCCTTTAAAAACTAATGAAATTCTGATCCTGTGGATAAATCTTGAAAAATGCTCAGTGAAATAAGCCAGGCACAAGAGGATAAATAATGTATGATTCCACTTATATGAGACAGAAGGTAGAATGGTAGCAGCCATGGGCTATGAGAAGTAGGGAGTTAGTAGTTACAGTTCATGAGTACAGAGTTTCAGTTTGGATGATGAAACGTTCTAGTGGATAGTGCTTATGTACAACAGTGCAAATATACTTAATGTCTCTGAATTGTACACTTAAAAATGGTTAAAATGGTAAATTTTATGTTTATCACAATCAAAAAAT